TGCGTCTGAATGATTGTCCCTCTCCTGAATGGGAATGAGTCGGCATCCTGTTTCTGTGTGAAAGAACTTCTTTCGAAACTCTTCCATTAGTTTCCTGGGTAGTTCTCCTACGCAAGGACCCTGTCTTTTTGTCTTGTAAACGGTGGATGCGTGTGTACAGTGTGAGCAATCCATCTTTTTTCCTGTGCATGACTCATTTTTCGCATCTTCCACAGTGAATGAATATATGGAGATGCGTGTCTCTTTTGCGTTGATTAGACGATTGTCGTCGGGATTTTGTCCGAGAATGCAAGATTGTTTAGATTTGTGGTTTTGAGTGCACTGCACATGCCATCTGCCTTATGCTCCGACATCAGCAAGCCAAATCACGAGGCGGCCTCGAGAAACAAGGCGCCTGGGATTAAGGTCGCGTTGGCTCACTAAACCTGAGCTGCGGATCGATCCCTTAGTTATACGCATGATCAAGTCGATTGAAGCGTCTCTCTCTCTCCCTCTCGTGTTGAAGGAAATTGTTTATGAGTAGCACGAGTGTTTTCTTTTTTTGGATGACGACGCAAAATATTTACAATTAACTAACATGTGGACTGACCAGTACCCTCCGATCGGGCACCAGCCTTCCGTACCTCCCGTTCCAACACGGCCTTTTCCGTATAACGAGGGAAGGACACGTGTATGTGAGTGGGACGTACGAGAAGCTGTCGCACAAATCGGCGGGCGATATTACTTCCCTCTGGCCAACCGCTGTTCAGGGTTCGTAGAGGCTGGGTTTGTCATTATCGATACACACTTCCCACCTTACTCGGTATTGTTATCATTCAATGAGTTGATCATCATCCCGTGGACGGCAGTAGAACCCCACTGGCCGCGCACTCTGTGCACCGAATGTCAGCGTTTTGAGCGCTACGAGTCCAGGGGTTTCCACTACCGTGTGCGGAGTGAAGACGAGCATAAAGAAAGGGCCACGCGACTGAGACCATCCACGTCAGACTCGGAACTGACTAGTGAACGACAACGAGATTTGATACGAAAATGAGACACGCGAAGCGTGCCAAAGCCTTTCCGTTCTAAACGACGGGCTGTAGCCCGGTGGGAAGCTCGACAGTACTTTTTGGATTTAATTTGAATCGTTCTCTTTCCGCGCCGTGCCCGCGCGCGCATCCCACGACGCGCGAAAGCAATCGACTTGCTTCATCGGACCAACACGGGGGATTTCAGTTCCATCTGTGTCCCCACACTCAATTTCCAAAAATCCTTGGCACACCCCATCTTGCTGTTTTTCTGGGCCTCTTTCCGCATGCCTAACACTCCGAACGGAAGACAGCACAGGGGGTGAGGTTGCGCGTCACAGACGTGCCCCTCTACCCATGTACAATACCCGTTGCCCCGTGTCTTTGAAATCACGCCCTGTTTTATGGAAGTCGTATGTTTAACCTACTGTATATAGTACGAGCGTGGGATTTTGAGGAGTCAGTATGCGGCTGAGTCAGCTAGAGACAATCCTAGCACAGTCGGCAAAGGGCAGTCCTAGTCCTACCTAGCCCAGTCAGCGGTACCCAGGCCCAAATTGCACTTTGTCCGGTCAGCAAGTACCATGTGGGACTGTGCACATCCCAAGCCCAGTGTCCAAGGGCAAACCAATAACGATCCAAAGTATATTCATTCTGACCGTGAGCCAGTCAACAAGTACCATGTGGGACTGTGCACATCCCAAGCCCAGCGTCCAAGGGCAGACCAACGACAATCCGAAGTATAAATAAAGAGGCAGCGTTAAGTCATTCATTCATTCCGCCTGTGAGCCGTGCGGAAGCGCTGTCGGAGCGTCTTGTGCTACGGAGATCTGCAAGTGGCCAAAGAAGAAGGGGGCTAAGAGGAGGAAGATGCGGACATAGCCGCGAGTTAGCGTAGGAGGGAGATGACAACTATGGCTGCCATGTAGGATAGGATAGGGAGTGTGTGTATTCGAGTATGTGTGTGTGCGTGGGACATCCAGTGTGATTCAAGAGTGAGTGTGTGTGCGTGTGCGAATAAGTTGCTGATGGATACAGTTGCTCAGGTGGGAATCTTCGTCTGGCGCCCTGCTCCATAACTATCAAAGACAAGTTTGAATCTGAGCTGTGTTCCTGGCCATGTTTTACCTTTGAGTTATGTGTGGGCTTCGTGCCAAGTTCGGTCATGATCTGTGTATGCAGACTGAAGCGAGTTGAAGACAAGTCTGATTGCAGTACAAGCGTTCATATTTTGTAAAGCGGAGGGGAAGTTATACGTGTGCCTATTGAGCTCGTGGGGATGGCAATCTGCCATAAAGTTGTTTCAGTTAGAGCGGTGAGATGCGGAGGAGATTATTGCCCTATGCAACAGTTCACATTGGGGCAGGGCAACAACCCGGGTGAGTTACTGCGCTTTCCCCTATATTGCAGTGATTATGAAACGCGGCTGGGCCACCTCTTGCACAATATGTAACAGCTGCCCTACATGGTTGCTATCTCACAGGGATACATCTCCAAGGATGGTGGGAACTCTTTGGGGGGAGGCGTAACTGGAGATGGTGGCAACTCTTTGGGGAGGCGTAACTGGGAGATGATGGCAACTGTTTGGGGAGGTAAGTTACGCCTCGCAGGCCTCTGTCCTATTGCAGAGATTTGTGAGATGTTCAGCTCGCTCACTGGGCCGGATCCCTTATCGCTCTTCTTGCGTAACGTGTCGGTCATGGGTGACGTGGCCAGCAGGGCCCTCGAGCTGCTTGTGCGCTTGCGGGCTGATGCGCTGGACAGCACGAAGCAATTTTCTTTTTCGTTCATCCTTTACCGGCCGTCCCCCATTTGTTCAGTGGTCGGTCATTGGAGGCCTTGGCCGCGCTATGCAGCCTGGGCTGCTTTCATGCGCCAACTTGTGGTTTCCGGGCCTTGTAACTGCCCACCCTAAACAAGCCGACCCCTCCCTAAATCCCTAACTCAGCGCGGCACCCCCTTCTTCAACCATGCAGAAGTTACTGATTTGCGATCCTATGTGACTGACCACAGTTTTGGTGCCTACCGTCTTCCCCCGAACACAACGCACCCTCATTCTGACTGTATCTGGCCGTAAGCATACCTTGTATACGTTCCTTTTCGGGGTGCGTTATGTTCGGGGGAAGACGGGAGGGGGCTGACGGTGGCCTGTTAGCCGGCAGGGCCGAGTGTGGTCCATGCGTCAGCTATCTCGCGGCAGAAAAAACAGACTGGCCTCGGTCCTTGCGGATCGACCGACACGTCGGCCTAGAGGGCCTCGGCGGCGGCTTCCCATCAACCAGCCGTTGGCACAGGTGTGGTCGCACCCCGGGCAACCCGCGTTGTGAGCACAGCGGGCGCCTGTTCGGCGCGACACTGTCAGGGGTGGCGAGCAGGGAACGCTAGTTGGAGGCCTGAAGAGAGAGCCGTATATATAGGCGTATATATATATATAGAGAGAGAGAGAGAGAGAGAGAGAGAGAGAGAGAGAGAGAGAGCCTTGACGGAGGTGAGTTTGCTTGCTAATTGTTTTGTTATCCTTCCTCTTGAACTCCTTTTATAGATTTTCGAGGATCTTTTATTGCTGAACTCCTATCCTCAGGCCAAGGATTTTTTTTCAATTCAAAATTTGAAACGGAACTGCGTCGCGGTGAATTAGCGTCGACATGTGACGAGATGGATGGAATCATTACCGATTGATCGATCGGTTGGCCTGTCGGCTGGCCAGTAGGATATTACTGATTCGAGTGTTTGGTGGTGGGTGGAGTGCCGAGAATTGCGTGCCTCGTCTTCTGCTTCTGCGCGTCTCGCGGGACACCTTCCGTCCCGGAGTGCTGTGTATCCACCGTGGCGTGCCCCGGAAATGCATTGCAGCGGGTATCACACGACGAGTTGGACAAGTGACAGGTGCTCGAGGAGGTGCTGAAGTGGATTAAAGAATTCGGTTGCAAACCATGGAGGTATGTACCGGGTGTGGACGGAAAGCGCTGGCTGGGTATATGATAGAATCGAATGCATGGAGGTGTTCACCGGGCTCGACTGAATGGTATAGGTTGTACTAGGAACTGTAGTGTATGTAGAGGACGATAAAGGGCGTGGCAGGGGAGGTAGAAGCAGGAAAAAAACAGATGCATTTGGGGGTTTGCAGAGCAAGGAAGAGGGGGCATGATGGTAACTATCTGGAGCGCAGGGGTTGTGGGCGTGATGGAGTCAGTCATCGGGTTGCTGGGGTGGGTTTTCGGATGAGTGGTGGGGTGTGAAAAGGCCGCCTTCTTCATCTCCTTTTCGTTTCTTCGTCCTTTCCTCTTCCTGTTTTCCTCCTTCCGTTATCTGGACAACCGCTAATTTTGGAACGATACAGGGCAGATTAGCATGGATCCTGCGCAACGATGACCCGCATGAATTTGAGAAATTGTTAAAAAAAGTAAAAGTTTGAAAATTTGAGAAATTGTTAAAAAAAGTAAAAGTTTGAAATGTGATGTTTTTCAGTCTGCGACTGTCGTAGGTAGGCCGTGTGGAATAGAGGTGAGTCTAGGTGCTGGAGCAAGGTGCTACGTGGAAGGGGGTTTCTAAAAGTTGAGTGGGGAAACAGCGGGGCGTGAGTGGCATAATGAATTTCGCTGAGGCCAATGGAGGAGGGTGGGGAAAGTGCCGATGAAGAAGAGGAGGAATGCCGGGGGGAAAAGTTCGGCAGAGGACGGCACTCTGCCGAAAGCATGGATGATGTCCAGTGCGGGGGGCTGTGGCCAGCGGCTAGTGGGCCGAGGGGGGGAGCGTGGGGTAGAGGTGCCACTGCCAGGGGAGGCCGGGCTGGAGGCAGCGGGGTTTGTATATCGCCGATGTTTTTGTACGAAAGTGGGGGGTGCCGATGACAAAGGGAGTAGTGTCTGGCCTCGCTCGAGGTGGTTTCACCAGGACGGTTGGTCGGGATCGTGGGGGAGCCATGAGTGAAGGGTGGAAACATCTCCGTCATCTTCTTCGGTGTCGTTAACAGCGAAAGATGAAAGATTGGTTTTGAAGGGAGGGAGTTGGGGGTAGTGTATTTCGCCGAAAACGATTCGAGAAGAGCGGAGGCCGATGGGAAAGGAATGGTCATCAAGGGGAGAGGAGCACGCGTCGTCATGGAGGGAAAGAGGGTATCTGAGGGAGCGAGGTTGTCACCAGGAATGGCGCGAGTTTGGCGAGGGGCGGTTTTCCTTTGAGGGAAGAGGGAGGGGAGCTGTGCAGAAGACGGTGGATGTCTTCTTCTGTTTCGTTTTTTCCTTCTCCTCCTCTTCGGCCCATTGTTCTGTGTGCAGGTGAGGTCCATTCACACTGTCTACTAGAGGGGGAAGCGTCCAGCGTTGGCATCATTAGGAGCGGTGGAAGAGGTAGGGGCTACGGAGGGCAAAGGAGGTGGATGTAATTTATTCCTTTCTCTTGTTCTGGTATTGATTGCAAAAATCTAGGAAAATGTCATCCTTTCCTGGTGGGGAGGGAGAGGAAAAATCTGGGAATGAGTTCGCCGTGCAGAAGGGTTTGGTAAGCGAGGTGTACCTGAGGCATGCTGTCAATTACGAAAGCGTTCTTGCCAGCAGGGTGTGGGGTGTGGCGGAAGTGGAAGTCCTCTCTCTCTCTCTCTCCTTTCTTTCTTGTTGTTCTGTCCCTTCTCTTCGTCTTCCTCCCGTTGCAATCAGTAATTCAAAATAATTAGAGATGGGTATGGTTTCGGAGATGGGGGCGTTTTGTAGGTTCACCTCGTGTAAGGTAGAGGGAGGTTGGCAAAGAGTCGTTAGTCAGAGAGGGGGGGGAGCGAGGGGGGGCCACTTGGGACGGTTCTCGTCGGGAGGAAGGGTATGATGGGTCAGGCTGAGAAGGGTTGGAACGGGGTGTTCTCGTGGGGGAAGGCTGGTGAGGGGGATGGAAGAGGGAGGGAAGAGGGAGCGATGGACGGGCGGTCGTTGAGAAGCGAGCTTTTCAGGAGGAGAATGGCTGGGGAAACCGTCGAAAAAAGATTGCAGGGAAAGGGACGATGGTTTTTTTTGCATGAAATGAAATGAAATGTAGAGCATCTGCAGCAGTTTCGGTAGCACACGTAAGTGCAGGAGGTGTAGCAGCGTCGGCTGGCAGCAGTTTTTTGCAAAGGCAGTTCGCATGACGGGCAGATATCCTTCAGTGTGTGCAACATGAATGCTGCAGGAATTACGGGTCGCAGTGTGAGCTAGCAACAGCTTGCGACAACAGTGGTTCAAGTTCGTGGCCGCAGCAAGCAGCATAATGCAGCTGTTGGAAGCAGTCAGTGTACAACAGTGGTAAGCTGCAGGTTTTAGCAGTAGTTCGAAATACTTAGCAGAAGGTGGAGTGCTAGGCAGAAGCATTTGGCAGGAGCAGTCAACAGCATCATTTCCAGCGGTGCACAGCGAGCCAAGGCTGCAGCACTTAGCAGCAGATGACAACGAATGTCAACATGAGCATAACAGGTAGCAGCAGCAGTGAGTGGTAGTGAGCAACACGGAACAGCAGTGAGCAACCGTGCGCAGCACCGAGCAGCATTGAGCAACAATGCGCAGCACCAAGCAGCAATGAACACCGGCGAGCGGAAGTATGAGCGGTGTGCATCAGTTTGCAGCAGCAGTTTGAATCAGGAGCTCCCTGCAGAAGTGCGCAGCAGAAGTCGCAGCCGAAGCCGCGGCAGCAGGTGCAGGACCAGCTCGCAGGGCTGGTAAGCAGCAGTCTGTACGGGCGGTTTACGGGAGTTGCACGGCGCTGTCGGCGGGGTTTCCGTCAAAATTAGAACGACAAAGAGAAGATACATTAGCATGGCCCCTGGGCAAGGATGATGACACGCATAAATCGAGAGAGAGAAAAAGAAGTGGTAGATAGCGTCAGCGGCCATTAACAAGGTTGAGGTCGAAAATGGTGACAATGAACTGGAGGGAGGCTTCTCAAGGGAGAGAAGGGCCTTGATTACAGGCTTAGGAAAGGGAATGCAAGGTCGTGACAGAAAAACAAAAGGAATGCGAACAGGGTAAACAAGAGAGTGAGGTAGGTAAACGAGTAAAAGATTGAAAAGGGGTTAAAAGAAGAGAAAGAGGGGATGATTGCTGAGGAAAATGAAGAATCAGTAGCAAAGAGACGGGTAGATCTGGTAGGCTATGGAAATTAATGTGGCAGGAAGGGCAGGAGTAGCAGCCACAGCGACACAAGACCGCAACGGGTGCATGAACATCTGCCGGTTGTGAGTTGAGGAAGAATGGAAGACGAGGGCGTTAGCAAGAAGGTGATGGAGGGTCAGCGGAGGATTCGAAGGGAGAGGAGGAGGTGACAGAGAGGGCAATGGACGATGATGACAATTTGGAGAAGGGGGAGGAGTAGGGGACCCTTTGCATGTTCCATTCTGAGTTTGAATGATGTGTGTAGCAATGACAGGCTGACAGACATACACACACACACACACACACACACACACAGACAGACACACACACACACACACAGAGAGAGAGAGAGAGTGAGAGAGAGAGAGAGA